TGTCCTCTTATCAGCGCTTGTTTTACTCAGTGATGTGGCCTCTCTGGCCGCTACAGGGCAGGACCCTGAGTGCGACCCTGTCCTCGAGGCCGACCACCACGCTTTGCCCCCTACGCCCTTGCCTTCCCCATCCGGTTTCATCCCACTTTCTCGCACCGAATCCCCCGTCTGACTCCAGTGCCTCCTGCAGCCATGCAGGGGCCCAGGCCAGGGGTCAGAGGGCAGGGGGCCGGCACTATAGAGCAGGGGCAGAGTGCTTGTTGTGTCTGCCCATCCTCACCACCCCAACCTTCCAGCCTGGCCCAGCTTCCCAATATAAGCCCTCCTTCTCCAGCAGGGGACAGTGTTCCTTCAACCCTTGCTAAGCACCTGGCCCTGGGAGAGGACCTTATCTCATGTAATTTTCTCAAACAATAACAGATTACTGCAACTGGCATTCTTTCCCTCTGTTTACAAAGGGAGGACCATTTCCTACCAACGCTTACTTACTTAACCACTCGTGGGATCTGCACCCATGTCTGGCTCCCCTGGCCTCTCCTAACTAACCTAGCCAACCACCTTTAGGTCCGTAAATCTTTGCACTATCCCAGCTTCCCCTCTCCACCTCATCCTGACTCCTCCACACCAGGACTTGTAAGCACCCCCACCTCTCACCCCCCAGGATATGATCCTGACCTATTCCCTGGGCCAACCAGTCTTAAGAGCCTCACCCCTTCCGAGACCTACTAAGGAGCCCACGGGGGGCTCCTTGCACCTCCCAGTCCTTTCTCCAGGGGTCAGTTGTCACCACCCACTGCCTGCTGTTCTCTGACTAGCTGCTGCATCATGGGTCCAAGCCCTCCTCCTTCCTTTTCCCCCCAGGAAACCAGCCTGGGGGGCATTCTGAAGACGGCATAGCTAAGCTCTCAGGGGACACTGAGACATGACTCAGCCAGAGTTCGAGCAGTCAGGGTCTGACTCCTCTTACTTCTCAGAATGATCCTCTAGCAACTTAACTCCCTCCTTAAACCCCAGGACGTGGCTGGTGCCCAGTGCAGCGGGGTGCCTCCCCACACACCCACTCACTCAGCAGGTACAATGAGACCCGCAACTACAGGTGTGCAGCGAAGCCCCAGCCCTGTGACCTGAGCAGGAGCACAGCTGTCCGGCACCTTTCCAATCTGACCTTTTGTACCTGTTCCCTATTTTCAGACCCTTCCAGAGCACATGACACCTGGGGCACCCGGTGGGGGATCTGAAGGACAGCCCTGGAACTGCCAGACCACGAGGTCACTGCTGCAGATGGAACTGGGGTGGGAAGAACAATTTGGGGACTTCCCAAGTCACCTGCCACCTGCATCTTAACTGTGGACAAGGCCCTACACGATCCGTCCTGACCCCTCTTAACACTCGCACCTCATTGCCTTTCAGTCCACCTC